TTTCTTGCAATTATATAAAATTGTACATATAAAACGGTTTGGATATTGGAATAAAAAAAAAAAATCAAATATTTCCTGGTTTCAAATATTACAGATATCTGAAATAAAGTTATTAAGTGCTTCTTTTTTTTGCATATGTACTTAAGAACATGGGCGTATATTAAATTACATTAATACATTTCCCACTCCAGATATTTTATATAACATCGCGTACTATTGATTCATTAATATTAATATCGAATTAAGCCGCTTCGCATATTCATAAATGTCAGACATTTAAAATTTAAAAAAATGATGCAAACTTTATAAATACCGGGTAAATGATTCAAGATTAAAAGTTAAGATATTATTTATACAGTATATCTAAAATATTTTTAGACAAATTTGAATGGTTTCAAGAGTATTCTTATTTCTTATTTTCAAGAGTATGTTCACTCTATATTTAATATTATATAGAACAGAAATAATTTTTTATTTTTTTTGCCTCATATTCGTTATATTAAATATGAGAGAACCAAATCATCGTTTTTCATAAGTATAATTTGTTGAATTCTCTTTTCAACAAATCTTAGTGATAGAAATATAAATATAAATATAACTTAAAACAGTTACAAAAGTGCAATAATAAAATATTAAAGACAATGGGACCTACTATTGCGACATGAACGTGCCATTCTATTATTTCATTCATTATTCTTTCATTATTATTCATTATCGCTGGGTCATGAAATGATAATAAAACTAAGATGAAAGGAAGATATACTGCGTATGAACATGACATAGTCATCATTTTTGGAAAATTGTTTTTCGACTGTTTTGGAAAATGAGTCATAATTTATTAATTACCAATAAATTATTATAATTTATTAATTAATTAAATCATGAAACGAATTTAAACAAAAGAAATAGAAAAAGTGATACTATTTGTTAAAGTGTTATATGTTATTATGTCACCAATAATACGTCATATTTGGTTTCAATATTTATTATTATACTTTTGTAACTGTTTTTAATATTTCTACTCAATATCTCTACTGCAACTTTGTCAAGAATTTAATAACATATTTTAATATACTTTATTGAAATTCTATACGAATTCGAAATCTTTAGTTTCCCGTCGAAAATGTCGCATTGAAATTATTAATTGATAAGAATAATAAGAAACAATCCGTTATACGAAGAGATTTGGCTTTAAAAAAATTCAATTATAAGATTCCAAAAAACTGATCATTATGTTTATATGTCCTATAACAATGTGCGTTATAGGGCATAAACCTGTTTTATCGACAGATTTTTCTCGATAAAAGTCCTGTTAAGAAAATTATGCAATATACAGTTATAAAAAAGAAAGATTCTATTCACTTAACAATGAATTTCAATTGTCAAAGAGGTAATTACTTCTGGCACTTATTCCTTGTTGGGAAATTTGTGGATAATAATTGAATATATTTACTGTCTAAATGTTATAATTATTCAAAGAATAAATTTATCTTACATTGAAGAATACTCCTCGTTGAGATCCGGACGTTAATAAAGAATATCTACATATATTTATGAAAATATATATTTATCTCGTATGATACAAAGTATTAAAATATTCACTTCCATTAACACTAATTTGATGTACACAGAACTTAGACAGTACAGTACAGTACAGTATTCTGATTTAGATAGAACATAGACAGTACAGTATTTTGATTTAGACAGAACTTTGAATTCTCGCTTGTGATGGGAAAATTTCGTAGTCTGTTTAATCACTTAATGGTAACTGTTTTAATGGTAACACTAGTTATCATAGTACAAAATAGTAATAACGTGTTCCGTATTATTATTATTATCACAAATACTATCTATCGTTCCTTTCCTAGATTATTCTCATTTTCTTTGAAACTTTCAACTGTTTCGTTAACATATTGTCATCCGATTGTAAATGTGGTGGAAATACAATATATAAGAGACTTCTAACGTTTTTAAATTCGTATAAATTGTATGCCGATAGTTCGAGTAACGTTAACTGGATACACAATCACATTCATTTATCGTAAACGCTTTTAAGTTTGCAAGCTTTGTAAATTTGCAATTGCCTGAAAAATATTAATCACTCGTTAGGATCAAGCTTTCTGAAAAGCGGTTAAAATAAACTCGGAATTTTACCTGCGATAAGAAAGATTTTAGAACAATTTCTTCTGTTTCTTCCAATGGTAAACACAATAAACACATTCCGCTCATTAGTGTTCGAGATCTTAAAATACCGTAACTTTAGATTTACTTTGAATAATTTTTATAGATCCATATTACAAACATAAGTGGTAAGACCTAAATTTTGTAATATTATTTATCAGCGAATTGACATCAAACGCGGAAACCAGTACATCAAACGGTAAGACCAGTGATATTTATTACTTGTGAATTAGGGCACAATTTTCTGATGACAGTTACTACATGTTAATGTAAAAGACACGGTAGTAGAAACAGATTTATTTCATTTAAATAGGAAACACATCGCATACATATATTTCTCTTCTCTTTGTGCCACGATAAATCCAGTTCTTTTATACTACGCCAGCAGACTTGACTTAATGCTTTCCATCTCTTGCACACTACAAATATTGAAAAGATTCACTTATATACACTTATATACACTTATATACTTATTCACACTTATATACATAAATATCAAATTTATATATTTTAAAACAATATTAATATTGTAAAATATATGTAGAATGTATGTGCTTACCTCTTTTTCTGATTCTATTTACAATGGGCAATTCAAGAAAAATATACATCAGACAGTCGTCACTTAATGTTTGAATACTAATGTCATCTTGTAAGTAATCCAGATATAACATCATTTAACACTTTGTTAGATTTTGATCTATGTTTCTTTACGATGTAATATTTATTCTTTATACTATCTAGTTGATGTGAAGGATCAGCTGCTCCTTTAAATCTTTAATTGTGCAATCTTATCCTATTCCTTTATCGTATCTGCAACTATAAATGTCATCGTATAACGTCAAAAGTATAGTTTTCTTATCTGTAGTTACATCTTTACATTTATTTAAATTAATTTAAACCTTAGAGCTGCATCTACACTATAGATAACAACGTAACAAATGCATAGTTATTATTTCTTGCACTTCTTCATAAGAAGCAACTCTTAATTTCTCTATAGTTAGAGAATAATTTTATAAGATCTTTGAATGATGTCTGAGAAAGAACATTTTACTGTTAGAATTATATGCTCAAAAAAAACATTGTATTAAATGTATATATATATATGTACAAATCCTCATTACTAAGTTACTGACAGGTAATTTCCTCATTACTAAGTTACTGACAGGTAATCCTCGTTACTAAGTTACTGACAGATAATCACACCATCATACCATCTTCGGTAACCACAACAGATAAGTAAAGCGGAATATCTACAGTAGATAAATGAAAAACATGAAAAATACAACAACTCATGAAATAACCGAACAATTCATATTATATTATTGGACTCTTTCATAATGTGACTGCATTGACTTTCTTCCTCCTCATTGTATTCCACACACAGATATTGCATCCAATGTATTTTTTTGGCCACGCTTTTGAAATCATCATGGCCGCATTACCATGTTGTGTCACAAATTGTACCGATTCGGTCCGCAGTCATCCAAACTCCTGTCGTAAATATTCCATTTCACAGTGGTTTAGTGGAACAATCCGTGTATTGGATGATTTTTTATATTTTGAAAGTATCATCTTACTTCTATAATGCTCTGCAGGCTCGCCTGTAATTTGTACTAATACCAAATCATTTACGGCATGATTCTTTACTCTTTTCTTCGTTTCATGACTACTATGTGCTCTGAATTCAGAAAATCCTAATCAATAAGTACATCGTATAACGTCAACCGTTTTCGCGTTTCAATTTCCATTGTCTCATTCCAATTTCAAGTTCTACGTCTTTTTCTTCGGTCGGCAACCAGGATGGGGATAATGTCGCCATCTGATATTGAGTCGCCGAAGTTCGTCACTCATCATATATAAGAACCAAATTTCTAACTTCAGCCGCAAAATAATCGCAGCTGATTTACGGATCGATGACATTAGGTTAGGCACACTAGATTTCCCCCTATAAATCCGGGGACAGAATAAGCCCAACGTGATGTTATAGAAGACGACTAAAAGGAACACATTTAAAAAAAAAATGGAAGATTTCATTACGAAGACACCTACTGGTGCAGTGGATAACATACCTGCAAGCCTGGTACAAGGGAGGTGACCGAACAAGCCTCCATTACATCGTCATTAGAACATTGTGATGTCACTGCGGATCCTAGGCCTAGTAGTGACTGAGATGACTAATAAACTAAGCATGGAAGAAGAGAACTCAAAAAAGACAACTACTGGTTCGAGGGGTATCGAAACTCCCAGACCCGGTACGCAGAGGATGGGTGAGCAAGTCCCATCGTCATCAGACACTCGTAAGTGTGAGAAAATGGCTGCCCACTCTGTTCCGTCCTAGGAATGACTGGTGCACTATCTGGAAAGCGTGCCACTCCTATAATAAGAGTAAGCGAGGAGGAGAGTGAGTCAGATGACTCGCATTTCTCTTGTAGGTCAATTAGATCTATAGTTAGCAGAACAAGGAAGAAGACGGAGCAATCAAGCTGTGGCTGAGTGTAACATTGGGTTGGCCGTCGTGGCTGAAAATTTAAACGGACTACTCGATGAAAAGGTGGCCGTCGGAAGTTTCGGTCCTTCTGTGTTCAAGATTAAAGAAAGTACGTTTTATGTATTACAAAAGCCTTCAGAAAGATGATCAAATGGGGGAGAGAGTGATATATCTCATTTGGATATGAGGCGCTTCATCTTTCTTTACGCGGAAGCGATAGAACCATTGCTAAGTAGCAGCGTTCACATCGCAAAAGCTTGGGGTACTAATACTTACGATGTTGGCTTAGTTCCGGTCTGATTAATAGCACCGGCAAAATGGCAGAAATTACCCAACATCAACCTTTCACAGAGGCCCTCTACAGATATATCTGAAGACGACGATCACAGAAGCTCAAATATTAATTTCACGTGTAAGCAAGCAAGTTAGTAAACCGGAATTCGATATTGTTCCTTATATTAAACGGACGACACTGGATATAACATGCGACTATGTGAGTACTACAATACAATGCGCAACTACAATATCAATGCACAGAAGAATTTTGAAAACAGACACGTAACGCCTATGAACACATTGGCTTCATTCCTTCAAAGAAGATTTCTAGACGTGTGATCGCCTGATCAGACCTTCAAGCTAATAATCCGGATCAAGAATCACAGTTACATACTTGGTGTTGCACATGGCTTCATTAATGAAATAATAGCAGAAAGAAAGCAGAATGAAGAGCTAAAACAGCTGGAAATTAC